ATATATATATATATATATATATATATATAGAACACTTGGACTTGAATGGCAGTTGAAATACCAAAGAGTTGGGTAATCAGATAGTAGAAATAAAGGTGTGTTTCGAAATGGAATCCGCATTAGGTTGCTGCATTAAACGCTTCTATGAAAAGTGTCCATCCAAAAACTGAGACAGCTTTGAATGATGTATCACAACCTTACGTGCTTCAGATAAAGATCACTGCAAATGCCTCAAACTAGCATAACAAGATTTGTCACGCTAAAAATAAGAATAACTATTCCTCTGTGCGCAGTGAATGTTGGCATAACAAAACACTCAATTTGTATTCGCATAACTAAACACAGAAGGCGAAACATCATTTACGATACGTCGTCAATCATGCACGATAGGATGATACAAATCGATTAGTCCAAATTTTCAGATTAAAAACAATCGATTGAAATGTAAAAAATGAGGAAAACAAGAGGATGATATGAATGAAGAACGATAAAATCAGTAGAAGAGTGAAAGCGTTGATAAGGATGGGAAATCTCGATGGGAAGTTGATTTAAAGCATTGCTGAGCTGATCATTGCTAAGTATCTTTGAACTGGAACTGAAGTATGAGACGTTCCTCCAAAACAGTGCTCCTCCAATCCACTAAATTCATATTTCGTCTCCAGTATAAGCCTATTTACTACATTTGTCATGTTCAAAAGCCACTGAATTACTCTCAGTTGCATGTAATTACCACTAAACTACACGTTCAGCGAGTAATTGAAGAAATAATTTTGCTGAATGTGACATTTATAAATTGATGGTCAGATAAACATCTATGTACGATCAGCACTACAGTTCGAGCAAATGTCGACCTTTCACTGCAAAAAGAAAAGACTAGAAATGATGCCGACTGCAGAAAAACGAAAACACTCCCAAGTTCATACCACTTATCATGAATTCACAAAATGAATATTTTAGATAATCCGAAAGCGCAAACGAAGAAAGTGATTTGAAAAACCTTTGAAAATGGAGTCCAAAAGTGAACTACAACTAAAATAGCTACACCAGTGAAGCCCAAAGCAATCGATTATCTGATTAGTATGTTAATGTGCATCTGCTCAAAAAAGGCTACTTAAACGAAGGTGAATGCACATAATTCATTTATATGCAAAATTCGACTGATGCGTCCGGTGCAAATTCAATTGGCAAAATTAATAGTGCCGTAATGGACGATGACAACGATAAGAAGCAAAATAACGTGAAGCACAACGACGAAAGAAAAAATATTCTGTATTATTTAAATAACACCAGCTGAATACGCTTAAAAGAAAAGTATGCATATGTAGCTTTCAGAAGAAAAGTCTAAACTATTTTTTGCTCAATTGGAATGTTGAAAATTATTGATGTTGAAAAAGAATGCATTATTTTCCTGCGTGCCATTTCAATATAATTTTGATTCAAGTTCACTCTAAAATAACTGAATTTGAGATAGAGACAAACAAGCGATGTCAACGAAACTAATCCGATACAATACTACTCTCACTGAAAGACACTAATTACAAAACTCATAATCAGATCAGTGATCAAATTTCATTGAGTACATACACGTATCAATATGTGAAAAATGAGTTCCAATTTTGAGATTGGTTGTTCATTAGAATCAATGATAAGTGAAGAGATAGCTGCTGAGATTTTTTAGGATTGAAAACACTTTTAAAATCAATTAAAAATTAAACAATTTTTGAAAAGAAAGAGAACAGTTCTCATGATAAGGTGCACGCACATATACGTTTATAAGGCAAAAAAAGAAATGAAACTGAAACTTTTAATAGAGATATTAAGATACGCAATAGAAAATTATATTTCATACATTAACTATACGAAAAAATTGCAAAAAAAAAGACATTCGAAGAGTAAAAACCTAATGGAATTACAAGATGGTAATGATCTTCTAGGAGAACAAACATGCATTTTGAAAATGATCAAGCAACACAAAATCAAACAATTGATTGATTTTCGAAAAAAATGTATTTCTTTTATGATCAGGCAAACGTAGAATGATTCAACAAGCCAAATCGAAATATTCGTTGTTTGTTTCATTCATCACATGAGAGAAATTGAATTAATGGCCTAATCATAATGATTTATTGCTCTTAAAAGAAACGAGAAGTTAATGAAAGAAATTAATTTTGAGAGTAAATTATCAACTAAATGAAATTTCAACGACTGCGATAAAAGAGTTGAATAACAAAAGTTAGAGCCACTGTTTCTAACAGATAGATACTGATCCTATATGTAATCCCGCAAACGAATAAATGTAAAAATATTTCAATTTCAGCAGCAATTCGGAAAATCAGTTCGAGAAAATTAAAAAAAAAACGATGAAACAATCGAAGAATCGAAAAACTCGCCTCTCAGAACCTAAATTAATTTCAAAAAACAAGATTAAAAAAAATTCAATACAAAAAATCCTATCAAATCGATCAACCACCAGTCTAAACAGAAAATGACGCTTGAAACTAATCAAATATTCGAAATACACAAACAAGACAGCTTGAAAGTATTCAACTACGAGATTTTACGAATTCAAAGCAAGACTGAAAGGAAAAGCAAACGAGCTCTGTCATCAAACGAAATATAATTAATTGTACTCAAGGCGTTCAGATAAATGAAACCTAAAAAATTTAACAATGAATGATGTGATTTAAAACATCAGTATGAGCATACAACAACAAGGTGTATTGAATCACTTATGATGAAACATTTCTATTTTCTAGTAGAGCAAGCTATGTGATACAACTTAGACATAAACAATGCGAATTAATCGTTGATAAAATCAACTAATTGAAATTTCGTAATCAAGCAATATAGCTTTACGGTATGTTTAGCGATGACAAAAAACACACTGTAAAAATCGCATGACTGAATGTATTGAAAGGATGAGTACTACATTTGCTCATACATATGCATATATCCAACAAGAAATGTGCTTGAAATGGAAATGACATTCGAATAAAAGGAATGGATGAATGAATAGAAGAAGAAAAAGAAAGGGAATGTGAACGAGAGCAGAACATTTTTGCAGCAACAAATAAAAAATTATTAATTTCGAAGGAAGAAAAAAAAAACAGGAAGCTATATTCATGCATGCATACGAAATGAAGTGACGTAAGATCATGCATAAATGACGGCTGTTTTTTAATTGTTGCAACGATTATGTTCAAGCTCAGCATCATCATCATCAGATGGAAGGTGTTCGCCGATTCAACCCGAAACGATTGTTAATCTGAGCATTGGAATGCGGTCGAATGGGATTTGCCTTTATCCAGTGTCCATTCACCAAACGATGGTTGTTGTTTGCCGAATGCTGCCAGTTGGCAGCCGTACGCCAACCGGATGGATGCCATTTCGGCTGACGCAAACGCTGAATTATTAAAGTACTAAAATTGCAAACGCCCCCAAGAAAGAAAAATAAAATGGATAATGCAAAATTTCACGAAAAAAAACCAAGCAAACTATTCACTAGTACACAGCAAAAGAATTGTAATTAGAAAAGTGAACAAAAAAAAGCATCGAAATAACTTGAGAATTAAAGAGAACGAAAGGAAAACTATGGGATGAAAATGAAAAAAATCTGAGAAGTATTATGATAGCGGCAACCGGACGCTTCTCGAAATATTGCAACGTTTTGATTGTCTGAATGGATTGACGGATTGATCACTGTGATTTAATTGTAAGTAAGGTGAGTGAGGACACAAATGGAAGTGTATTAGTTCGATAGTATGCATTGAAAAGCTTTCAAAATTAATTGGATGTGCAAATTCAAAATACGATTATGACAAGCGTATTGTTAGTATTAAGCAGTTGGAAGAACTGTTAAGAGCACCTGAGAAGTAATGCGTTCTGTAGCACGACCGATTGACGTCTCAGAAAAGCCACCAGAGCTTGGCGATGCGGACGGATAACGCGGATCGTTCGGTTGTGCTGGCTCAGCTGTTCCATACAACAACAAAGACCAGTCGTGGAATGTTCCTACAATGTTGATTCAATCCGGTTTTAACGATGCTCTGGATGTGTGAAACGCTACTATTGTGAAACATTTGGCTTGTGCACACTTTGCTGATTAATTCACTTTTGGAATATTGGAAGGTGTTTTGTTATGTGCAAAACACACTCCCTTTAGAATATTGATCATCATCATATGTAATTTGAAGAAGAAAAGAATCTACTCTAAATGAGAAAACAATCGCACCTCCCATGTTCTTATCAGTACTAACTGATTCAACCATCAATGTCCAAACTCCTCGCGGATCTTCACCCCACATTTGTACAGATAAAAATGGCCATTTATGCAAACCATTCGTGCTATAATCCTAAAAATGATCAAAACTGGTTACAGTATAATAGCAGAACGAATTACTTTGAATAGACAAAATCAACCTGAGGACGGGGCGGTAATAGAACAGATGCAGTTCCCCTCGGCGAGAAGAGAGTCATTTTGAGATCACCACGCTTTCCGAAACGAACGGTGACCAGCACCTGAACATGCTCTAAATAGAGCACCGGAGTCCCCGATTCGCATCCGCTCACTTCCAAAGAAAAGTTCAGTCGGAAATTACCCGTTAAAGGACGTGGACTGAAAACTTAATTTTCGATGAGAAAATCCTACAACTCACTCATGTCACACCAAGCAGAACTTTTATCAGCAAAAAGTCAACAATGTTATATCATCGGTAATAACCTTGGTTTTTCAAGTTTATACTCATAAGTGCACATGTGTTGTTCAGGTACGGTGACCCAAGTTTTAGCCAGCTTCACCAAAGCACCAGCATCCATAAGTCCATAACCAAACTTATTGCTGATATGACGACCGACACCATTGATTGACCAACCCGCATTGTTCAGCAACGGTTTCGCATTGGCTGTTCGTAAGACAACATGTTGCATATCACGCCATGTTAAACTTGGACTAAAATAGTTTCGTTCACTATTTTAAATCAGTAATTTATTTTTCAATTGCATTTTCAACAGCAGCAACCAAACTCTTTTATAAATGTATTGAACTGAAAGCGTAAAAAGCTGATTAAAAACAATCGCACTACAAGTATAAACATCAACTAACTTTGCTTCTAGAGCAAGTGCTATGATGCCAGCAGCGAGTGGAGCGCTCGCACTTGTGCCCGTATGTGAACGTGTGCATCCGTGCGGTACATCTACTGTCACCTCCAATCAACAACAATAGTTAACATGTTCACAAACTTCAAACTGAGGCTAATCCCTGCTTTTGCTGAGGCTCACTGTGAAGCTTACCCTCAGATCTACTGTGGCCATCTCAGTTTCACGTTGAAACCTGAGCCGCAGGACCGAGACCCATTCAAATTTGATGCTACACTGCCACCTTTCATAAGCACGTTAACTAAGAAATTACCGTAAATTAATCAGATATCGAAACTGAACAGTGATAACATTTAGACTCACTATTGCAGGTTGATTCATATTGGAACTGCTGTATGTAGTTGCAATACTCGAAGGGCATTCTTCAAGATACCAAGGCCTTTTATTATCAAACGTTGCTGAGCTGATACTCAAAGTATAAACCGATGTCGTATATCCGTCTGCAGAACAGCTGTCTTGTCTGCAAATCAATTATCGTTGAACAGTCCATCTCAGTAGTATGATTATAGCGTTTGCTTGCAATGCAAATATATTCGAAGGAACAATCAAAAGAATCCACCTAGCGCCACCGTTTCCGCTTGCCCAAACGAAGATGTTGCCTTTGCCGTTACGACCTTGTTTAATACCTCGATAGAATGCTTCGCGTGCCAACGGTCCAGGTCCGTCGAATGTTTTCCCATCATCCTCAGGACCCCAGCTGGCCGAATAGATATCGATGTGATGTTGATTGAGCGATAAGCTAGCCGCTTCAACACTACAAAACGCTTCAAATAAGGCACTAATCTATCTTTGTTGAATATGATAACCCTTTAATATTATTTATCTTGAAATCACAAGCATAACCACCATTTTATAATCTAATAAAGGTTAACAATTGAGTCAAACGCTGAAAAAGAGTTTATTTCTCGAATATAATAAACCGACGAACCTATCACTAACAGGACCATCAAGCATTCTCACACCACCGATTTTGGCATGAAAGGCCACACCAACGCCACAATAGTCATTTCCTGCTATTGCTGCTACCTCACCGGCGCATCGGGTACCGTGTCTATAACAAATTACATTCGTATTTCGCTTTTCCGTGATTCTCTCTTCGAATAAGAATGAATACAGAGCTTGCAACCTCTCATAACAGTTACGATGCGAGTATGTGTTAAAAAGAGTCCAAATCTAGAGCAGTGCTTAATTCAATATGAAATACTTCAGACAATTCAAAATAAAGTCAACACTGTTCATCCAGTTCATTTGAACAGTTACTGCAAAAGAAATATTCTAATATGTCATCACAAAAATCCATTTGAATACTAAAATTTGTAGAGTTGAAATTTCCATAGTTCTCGTCAACATCCTCATCCACTGTTTGAAATTTAATGAACAAACTTATTATCGCCGTTATCTTGCGGTGTCGGGTCATCATCGTGATCATTGATATCTCTGCTCGCTATCGGATCGTAATTAGCCCACAAGTCAGCATGATCTTTTTGAATACCATCGTCGAGAATCGACACTGATACATTGCGACCAGCGTAACCAAGCAGCCAAGCTTGACGTACATTCATATCAAATCCACCTACTGCACCACCAACCTTCAATTCTTTTATTCAAACAAAAACATAAAATAATACCACCCCTATTGAGGAGTACTTCATGGAAACAACGACTGGTTCATATCCCATCATACACTTCCACAAATTCTGACAGCAAATCAGTTATTAAAAATTTTCATTTCGCACCGAAAAGATAAAGATATGAAAATGCTACTCACCAAATACCACTGCTCTCTATAAAGTGGATCTTTCCATGGTAATTTAGGAATGTCTTTAGGTGATTTGAGTTCAACGACACTTTGTGCTGGGTCTGGCTGTGCCCTTCGAACGTCAGTGTGGATGTAATCACGTTTCACTCGCTTCCTATACACATCACTATTAGTTAGCAGTACTAGAGCGCCAATTGTTTCCATAGTGGAAAAATAAAATTCTAAAAATCGCAAGTGCCAGTTTTCGAAAAGTTGCTATTTGGTCTAAAAACAATCCGTGTGGAAAATCGCTTCGAAAAACAGTTCGAAACAGTTAAATTATTTTTTCGTCTAAACCATCGCACACTCTACGCATTTCGACATTTTCTTAATCTCAACCAGCAAAGCGCTTCCTTGTTGGCTAAAAATAATCTCATTAAAAAATTAAGTTTAAAGATCACGCCAACTACACTGAACACTCAGCTGCCATAGCTGGAAAAACCATTTGACCCAACCACTTACCGGACTAAATTTTTTGCACTGAGACTTCACACAGGCTATTCACAAACTAAAAAAAATATCTCTTTAACAACGAAACAATACCTTGGCCTCTGTTCTTCTGCCCATTCAACAGCTGGGTGATCTTTCAACCTCGTCATAGCATCACGTTTATGTCGCCTTGAGCGTTTCTTAGTGTCGTGAAGGAAATAATGTGAATCAAGGAATGGCTCTCCCTGAACAAATGCGATACAGAAATTAGGACACAATTAATCGTGCACAGGTTAATAATGCTTTATTGCATCATATCTGCACATGATACGATCATAAATATAGCTGATAGGAGAAAATTAAATTTGTGCAAGTATATTATTGTATTACCTTCGTCATGAGTGATAAGCTATTACAATAATTGATAGAGTCACATCACTCAATGTCTGGCTGATCTACCTATAATATTGCACTACTAAAACATTCAGATATTTTCGAGAATAACGGCAAAAACATCCTACTCACCCTAACTTCCATTCCATGTTGAGCAGCAATTTGTCTTGCCAATTCATCGTCCCGTTTTGCAAGCCTAATTACTGTATGTATTGGCTCAACGCATTCAGTATCATCTCGACTACATAATGAGTCGTGCTCTATTGAGATGGCACTTCCAAGAAGCAAAAATATTAAAAACGTCCTCGCTAGATGCCAAACTAACCTGAAATTGAACTCTATCGTTTAATTTAGGAAAGCGTCTTTTTTTAAATATGAAACTGACCTTAAGCTGTTTTATTTTAATGCATTCAGCCTACCAGATTAATCGAAATGTTTAAAAAACAAAAACGAGCAAATTCAACCTTCAACCTGGTCAAGAAGTGTGATTGTATCAAAAATTTCATCAATTCAGCTTAATTTGTGAAAGAACTGAAATTGCATCAGCCTTAACGAAAAACAATAGATATTTGGGTTCACCATTAGAGACCTAAATTTCGAAAAAAAATTTTTTTTGAAAAATTTGGTCTCGTTTGAGGAATATGGATGGATAAGTTCAAAAAAGGACTATTGCAATCAAACAATGCGCTAAGATTACAGCTGATAAAACCGAGCATAGCATATGTCATATATCTACAACACTCAGCAAATATTCAGACGTGTTAAATGGCAGCAAATATTTGATTTAGAAGGACGACACTCAGACACTTATTATGAGCACATTCGGCAACGATGTTCATCGAGCATTCACTTTTTGAACATCAGTACATTTTAACACAAAAATGAAATGTGTTACTCAATTTTTTTGTTAGCAACAAAATCGATGATGCTCATCACAACGAATATAATTCAAGCACTACTCAATCATTGTCTCGCTATCCCTAACAACCTCACGATTTCAACGAAGAAATATTTCTTCCTCTTCACAGCATCACAAATCACACAATCGATCATTAGTCAATTAATTAAACAACAAAATTACTTTCTTCAGAATAATTTCCTCATTGCAAAAACAAAAAAGAAAGTGTGAAAAGAAAACAATGCAGTAAACAACAACAATGAACGTACCGCTTCGCTGAGACGGAACAAACAACAGCCAACATCGATAAATGCGCTTAAAATGCGAGCAGAGAACTTGTAAAAAAAAAAACAACAACAACTTCTTCTTCAATTAATTACAACCAATCCTTGCGTTCGTCGCAAGAACAGAGAATAATCAGTATGCCACGTGTATTATTGACTGACTTTATGATAATAGTGTGATTAATGAGAGAATATCAGTTACTGATGCATTATGCACATTCAATGAATGAAGAATTAGCGTTCAATTCTTTCTTGCCGTACAACTTTCTGATCTCATCAAAACGTTAAAGTTTTTATTTTATTGATTCGGCGCAAATACTCCCTCAACAGAATGACGATGATAACGTAGTGATATTTTGTAGTTGGTATTATTGAGAGCGCAGTCGTCTGTCGTCAGTGATCAGCGCAAAAAAAGATGGATGTGATGATGGTGATTTATAATGAACTGTGGAATAATCGAATTCAAATTTCGCACTCCTTCTTCTTCGACCGAACTGATGATGATGTGGATGAACGGTGCTCGTTCTTATATGTGCTTCTCTTCTTCAAGCACTTCAATTCTTTCGTTCTCTCGACGACGACAACAGTCGTATCTGCGCCCCTCGCGTTAAGGGCCCTGAAGAATTTTTGTTTGATATCTTATTATTACATCTCATCATCTGTTCAACGACTACAAATCAGCGAACAATAAAACAATCTGATACGAGGATAGCAATTCAAAATTGACATTAAGAAGCAGTGAATTATAATAAATACTGATATTTTGATGGTGTGTCCACAACTACGACCGATAAACAAGAGCATACCAAATTATTGAGGATTGATTGACTCAACAAAATACTCCGCAAAATGATCAAGATGCATAATGATCAAAAATATTATTGTTTTTTGCATGATATATACGTTTACTCATCTGTTCAAACAATGAACCACATTACATACAATGCACGTTAGGCTTTCAGCATATTCCTTTTGTGTTATGACAATTACGTGCTTGTGACTGAATTCAGTTCTGCTCAACAATTCATCTGTGAACACAGCAAGTTGGCTCGATTGCGTTTCACAGCTGCGTCACTGCTTAAGAGAGATAGACAGATGCATGCTCATTACTAGGCTCAACTAAAAACAGACTACTCATGCTCATTATTCAAAAGATACGATAGCTGCTTCGAAAAACGATAGGTGTTAACACATTCGGTTGTAATTCGCCTTTTATTACGCGTTTTGATGACTAGTCTTGTTCTAAAACTGCGGAAAAGAATTATAATCTGATCTAGAATGAGTCCACAGAATTACCGCCCCATCCCACTAATATGAAAAATCAAAACCGCAACAAGATCGAAAAATTATTTCACGATTGTTAAACAATTCTCTGCATTTCAATACGGTTTTATCAACGGACACACAACAGGGGAAATCCATTAATTAGATAACATATCAAGAATGACTGAAACGCTAAGGTTAAAACTTTAACAACATTGTATTGGAAATATGAAGACTTTATATCAACATTATAATCATTTATATTGATGAACACAGCATTTTTCAAAAATTTTCACGAAAAATTACTGCATTTATAAATGAATCATTAATAATACGACATTTATTTTCATTACTACGCCCAACTAGAAAAATTGGGCTAAATAATCTACCAATCCATTAAATGAGTTCATATCCACATTACCAATTTCCAGGAAAAAGACTAAATTATTACTGTCTAAAAAGCTGATCCTAAATGTTTTATGAATCAATGAAAGTTAAAAAGCAAATTTTCAGAAAAGAAACTGGTAAATGACATCCAAATGTAAAATCTCAACTTTTTTGCTGGAAATTACTGAAGGAGACTGCTTCCAGTTCGACTGAACATCCTATTTGCACTTTTCTAAGCTCTAACTCTATCAGTGAAATTGTTGATATTCTATTCGCATCAGTCAATAAAAATTTGCATTAAGAAGAATTGAATTGGCTGAAACAAACCAATCCATTCATACTGATTACAATGGACAAGCCTGCTTCGGCTTATGATCAAAGTGGGCTGCTACTGGAACGAACTGTGGTCGTGCACTAAATTATTACAATTAGTTATGTCTAGTCCAATGGATTCCAAAACGAACTGCATGTGAAATGACGAACTGAATAACGTCGAAAAGTTGCAGTTCTAAGTGCTGCGCAGCTAACGAATACAAACTAGCAGTGAGATTCAAAGAAGAACATGCACATGAAATAATATTCTAGCTAGTGTCAAACATGTTTATACAACTTCAAAGAAGCCATGCTAAAAGATAGCTGGTGGACAATACGAGCCACGGAATGGCTCCTGCTTGGACACAAATGTCATCTGCGAAGACTCACTGTATGTAATCATAAGTTCTGGAATTACGTACCAGGCAAGACATGTAAAGAAATGTCAACATACGGGGACAAATCGAACAGAATATTATTGTTAATAGCACTAATTTCGTGAGAATACTTCAAACAAGTGTTGAATCGATAAATTTGTTGTTTCGAAATCTTCCAACATAATGAAGAAATTTAACGAATGGGTAAAAAAAATCATGTTTGGAATTTCAAAAAAAACAACAAAAAAAAATCATGAAATACATTAAGTGAAATTTCTCACGATCCATCTAAATAGAAAAGGAAAAGACGGCCATTTCAGATTAATACATAACTGGATCATTGCAAAGATTCAGGGTGTGAGGCTTGAAATGAAAACCAAACACAGTTCAGATGGAAATAGAATAAATACGTTGCCCAAGCGTGAATGCCGTTCACATAACAAGCCCTATTAATGCGAAAGTCTCCGTGCGCTACTATGACACGATCTGTCCAACGCTCAAATCTTGACTAACATTATTCCGCTCACTAAATTCTTGTTCTAGCACTTCAATCGATTCGAGACATTTCGACAGTAACTATTGCATAGTTTTGACCATTTTCAATCAACCTATCATATTCGTTGAATTTTTGCGATAATTCAGCTGCACTATCTTATCTCCAGATCACATATCGATTATTCTTTGTATGGTGCGATCCCGGGACCCCGACTTTTGAATCGCGATCCCAGGATTTATAGTTTGGAAAATGCCGGGATAGTGTGATTTGATAAGAAGGCACATTAAACAATTTCGATGATATACTCATCCTGAATTGCATACCAATCATTCACATTGCAGTTGATATGCCGTAATATTTGTTGTTTATCACCCAATGGCAATCATTTCATAATAGCACCACATCAGTTTTCTCTCTCAGAAAACGGTGAACAAGAATGTCATCACTCTTGTTCGTTCTTTCGTTATCAGTGCTGTTTTGTCTTCCGTTCATGACTGTTATTAAACTCGCTATTGAAACATGCTCGGCATTTTGCAAATACTGATGTCGAATATTTTCTAGCCCTCAGAAGCACAAAAACGAAAACATCCATTGAGAACCACTTCAATTTGGAGTTGGTAGGATACTCGTTTGGAATCAAAGTCACGTCAATGCAAATTCCTCATTGACATAACACTGTTAAAGCTGCTATTCCTCTATTCACTGCCTTTCGAATTCAAAAGTCTGCAAGAATGACCAATTGCCGTTTGTTTTCAGCATTCATTATCAGTATTTTCACAAGCAATGATCCTTTATTATGTATGCCTCTTTTCTCAAGAATAAATTCAGGCTACTGAATAGATTCCAGCGCTTTTATCAACTGAAACCGTTAATGTTTTATACTTGTAATCAAAATTTGGGGATTATTTTGTGCAAGTGGAACGGACCAATTCGTTTTTGTTTTTTTTTTTGATAACGACAGAAACAAGTTTTGAGTTAGGTGCGAACCTTTAGAATGGATTGTTTATACAAATTAAAGCTTATTGTGGTGAAATGGAACAGAATTGGTTGTCGAGAATAACAGATACAAATAAATGCTCCACTAATGAAGTGACATGCAACTACTACATTCAAGCAAACACGCACAGCTGTAATAATTGGTGAATCACAGCAATTCTTTGTGGTATAATGAGGATAATTGAAAAAAGTTCCCAAGGATAACATATGATCATTGAAGACATCAAAATACCATATAACAATAAATTAAAACAGTCGAAAAAACGCTCCCAACCAATACGAAGTTAACGACTTTAAGTAATTCCGTATGATAAATATCGTCA